AATACTCGAAAATACTCGAATCCAGACCTAGGATATCCTACGTCAATCAAACACTGTTAATTGAAATATGTCAAATTTTATCGATCTTCAAAACAGGTAGTGAAGTACTATCTGCCGATGATTCCCCGATCCTACATCTTGTCGTGTCATTTTTTAAAAAATTTCAAGATTCTTGTCAAGTACGATCAGGTGAAAATTTACGTATTATGGAATTTAAAAGAATTTTATTGAATAAACTTGAAGACAAAATTTGGTTGTCTGAGTTGCATTACATCGCGACCTTTCTTCATCCAGAAACTAAAAATTTGCATGTTAGTAAAAGATCTTTTAAATTTAAATGAAAATTTTTTTTTTCTTTTTTTTTGAGTCATTAAAAAGTCTGAACGAGATGAAGTTGTAAGAAGTGTTCGATCAATGTTGAAAACATTGAAGATTGATCAACCAACAACTGAGCTCGCTTCCAACACAACAATTACATCTTTTCCGGCTGAAAAAACAAAAAAACGTTCTCGACATGATGAATTAACTGTTAATGATGTATTGAGATCATTTAGTGGAAAAGACGATGATCCATCAGATGATGAAGAATCTGATCAATTTGATGAAATCAATGATTATATGAAAAAGAAATTCTTTTTTCCAAAAGATATTGACATATTACAGTGGTGGCAAAATTATTCACTTATTTATAAACAGTTATCTCGTTTGACTATGGCTTTATTATCAATTCCAGCTAGTTCAGCAACTAGTGTACGAATCTTTAGCGAGACTGCGCGAACGCTAGAGTCTCGGAGACAGTTATTAAGTCCTGATTCATCAGATGCACTTGTATTTCTTCGTCACTGTTTGTGATAGTCATAAAAAGTATTGTTATTTCATTCTCATTTAATCAAGCTAAATAAAATAGACTTATATTCTAAATTGCGTTTACACCTATGATGTAAATGAGATCAACTGTGAATATTGAAGTTACGGTTACGAGTAAGAGAAGATACGAGTAAGGTACGGATACTAAAATAACGGGTACAGGTAGGGTACGGGTACGAAACTAACGGGTACAGGTAGGGTACGGGTAACAAATCAAGGGTACGGGTACCAAATCAAGGGTACAGGTACCAAATCAAGGGTACGGGTAAATAATTCTTCTTCGGGTTGGGTACGGGTACAAAAAGTTGTACCCGTGCAGTACTCTAGCCCGCACCCGCACCCGCACCCACACCCGCGATCTACCTGACTTGTTCCAGGCTCGAAAATCACGGCCTATGCCTGTCCCACTCTTGTAACTGGGAAGGTGTAACACCTGTTTGGGCCTCTGATATATAGAGCTGAAAAAGAGAAAGAAATGAAACATAAAAAAAGGATTAATAGTCAATTATTCTTCTATTTCTCCTTTTCTTTTAGGAGAACCCGAAAAAAGCGTCGATATATACCTCACCATTGTGAAAAAGTAATTGTGCTAATACTCAAAACCCAGGCATTTTCGGTCCTTTTTTAGCATTTTTTTGTAGAGTGGAGTTTTCAAACTTCTGTCAGAAGATATTTTCAAAAGATAAGTAGCTGTATCATAAGATACTATTTTTCTCGATACAACTTATTCGACTTTAACCCGTTCACTTCCCGCTTTTTGGAAGAAGCCCAAAGGACGGGAATCTATAACGTGCCTACAGTGAGCCATCATAAGTTTTTTGCCATATACCACTGATCATCATATACACGATGAAAGATCTCGCCGAGTTAAGTATTTTTTCTAACGGGATCTGATACTTCGGAATATGAACAGGAAGAGTTTTGATTGAGTTAACTTCTCAATTGTGGATCATTTCAGAATTTGACTCGACTAAAACCTTTTCTGTTCATATTCAGAAGTACCAGGTTTCATTAGAAAAAGTGCATAACTCGGCGAAATCTTCCATCGTGTATTTAACAAGCAGGGTGGTAAGGCAAAAATTTACCATGGCTCACTGTAGGTACCCTACAAGCCCTCGTTCTTTTCATAAGAAACGTTTAAATATCGTTTTATTTGTTTTTTGAAAGAAATTGCATTTCTGTGTCAAAGAAACAGTAATTCATTTTTGTATGATAGCCTTTAAAGCAATTAACACTACATAGAGATACATTGCAGTCAGGATACATATACGTCGCTAGTACTCGAAGCCAAATACCCGGACGTATATATACGCCTCCAGAAGTCAACAGGTTAATCGCCTCTTTTTTCTCTAATCTACTATTAGACAAGTAAAATAGAAATGAACGTGAGGTATTCAAATTATTATTCTTTCATTTTCTCCTAA